GGCTGGAAAGGAGCGGGATGGGCAGCAGGCTGGAGGCCCAGAGAGGAACAGGATGGTCAGTGGGCTGGAGGCCAGAAAGGAGTGGGATGGGCAGCAGGCTGGAGGCCCAGAGTGGAGTGGGATGGCCAGCGGGCTGGAGGCCGGAAAGGAGCGGGATGGCCAGCGGGCTGGAGGCCAGAGATGGTGCCATGTGGGACCACATTGTAAACTTTTCACTTTACTCTTGTATTTATGTTCTTGCGTACATGTGACAATAAACCTAATTCTAAGATTGTGTGAGTATTTGTGTGTGTGTGTGTGTGTGTGTGTGTGTGAGAGAGAGAGAGTGCGTGTGTGTCTATGTGAGAGTGCGTGTGTGTGTGAGTGTGTGCATGGAGATTGTGTACATGTATATGTGAGAGTGCATGAGTGTGTGTGTGTGTATATGAGTGCGTGAGTGAGTGTGTGTGTGCATGCGTTTGTGAGTGCGTGAGTGTGTGCGTGTGCGCATGTGTATGTGTGTGTGAGATTATGTGTGTGTGTATGTGTGTGAGTATCTGTGAGCCTGTGTGTGTGAGTGTATGTGTGAGAATGCAAATGTCAGTATGTGTGTGAGAGTGCATGTGTGTGAGTGCATGTGCATATGTGTGTGTGTGAGTGCGTGTGCATGTGTGTCTATGTGAGTGTGTGTGTATGTGTGTGCGTGTGTGTGTGTGTATGCATGTGCGTGTGTGTGTATGCATGTGCATATGCAGAGTGCCTCTGTCTGCAGTAGTCCTCCATCACTGGGGTGATGGAATCCACCAACATGTTCTCAGGGCATTTAGGGTCAGGCAACAAATGCTGACCTAGACAGTGACACCCTTTGCCTTTTGGTAAAAACAGAACTTGAAATTCTTCCCGTTAAATTCAAACACATCTCAGACTTTGGCAAGTCAATATTTCGGGTCAGGACCTTTCATCAGTCCTGTATCGACTCTGACTTCCAGTACCTACACTTCTTGCTATGCCACAGACTTTGGCAAATGGGGTTAAGAAGAATCCAAACAGATTTTATAAATACATTAAGGAAAAAAGAGTAACCAGGGTGGGAATAGGGCCCTTTTGAGACAAGCAAGGCTGCCAATATATGGATAACAAGGTGTAGAGCTGATTGAATACAACAGGCCAGGCAGCATCAGAGGAGCAGGAAAGCTGACGTTTCGGGTCTGGACCCTTCTTCAGAAATGGGGAGGAGAAGGGGACTCTGGAATAAATAGAGAGATGGGGGGAGGCACTGATGAAAGGTGGATAAAGGAGCCGGTGGGGTGAAGAAAGAAGGACAGGTCAAGGAGGCGGGGATGGGGTGGGCTGGTTTTCAGATGAGGTCGGGGATGGGGATGGGGGTTGTTCAGTGAGGTGGGAGGAGCAGATAGGTGGGAGAAGAGACGGACAGGTCAAGGAGGCAGGGACGAGCTGGGCTAGTTTTGGGATGAGGTCGGGGTTGGGGAGATTTTGAAGCTTGTGAAGTCCACATTGACACCATTGGGCTGCAGGGTTCCCAAGCGAAATATGAGATGCTGTTCCTATAGCCTTCGGGTGGCATTGTTGTGGCACTGGAGGAGGCCCAGGATGGACATGTCATCCAAGGAGTGGAGGGGGAGTTGAAGTGGTTCGCGACTGGGAGGTGCAGTCATTTGTCACGAACCGAGCGTAGGTGTTCCACAAAGCGATCTCCGAGCCTCCGCTTGGTCTCCCCGATGTAGAGGAGGCCATATCAAGAACAGCGGATACAATATACCACATTAGCAGATGTGCAGGTGAACATCTGTTTAATGTGGAAGGTTTTCTTGGGGCCTGGGATGGAGGTGAAGGGGGAGGTGTAGGGGCAGGGAAAAGTGCCGGGTGTGGTGGGGCTAGTGGGGAGTGTGGAGAGGACGAGGGAGGCACAGAAAGAGTGGTCCCTCCAGAAGGCAGACAAGGGTGGGGAGGGAAAAATGTCCTTGGTAGTGGGGTCAGATTGCAGGTGGTGGAAGTGACGGAGGATGATGCGTTGAATCCAGAGGTTGGTGGGGTGGTACATGAGGACGAGGGAGATTCTGTCTTTGTTGTTGCAGGGAGGGGGTGTGAGGGATGAGTTGCGGGAAACGCAAGAGATGCAGTCGAGGGCGTTTTCGACCACTGTGGAGGGGAAATTGCGGTCCTTGAAAACGAGGACATCTGGATGTCTGCGAGTGGAATGCTTCATCTCGGGAGCAGATGCGGCGGAGACGAAGGAATTGGGAATAGGGGATGACATTCTTGCAGGAAGGTGGGTGATAGGAGGTGTATTCTAGGTAGCTGTGGGAGTCGTAGGTTTGAAATAGATATCGGTTTCCAGGTGGTTGCCAGAGATGGAAACAGAGAGGTCCAGGAAGGAGAGAGAGGTATTGGAGATGGTCCAGGTGAACTTAAGGTTGGGGTGGAAGGTGTTAGTGAAATGGATGAACTGTTCGAGCTTCTCGTGGGAGCATGAGGCAGCGCCGATACAGTTATCAATGTAATGGAGGAAGAGGTGGGGGATGGGGCCAGTGTAGCTACAGAAGAGGGACTGTTCCATGTATGCTACAAAGAGGCAGGCATAGCTTGGGCCCATGCGGGTACCCATGGCCACTCCCTTTATCTGTAGGAAGTGGGAGGAGTTGAAGGAGAAGTTGTGAAGGGTGAAGACAAGTTCGGCTAAGCGAATAAGGGTGTTGGTGGAGAGGGACTGGTCAGGCCTGTGGGAGAGGAAGAAGTGGAGGGCCTTCAGGCCATCTGCATGGGGAATGTAAGTATATAGGGACTGGACGTCCATGGTGAAGATGAGGTGTTGAGGACCAGGGAATCGGAAGTTTTGGAGGAGGTGGAGGGCATGGGTGGTGTCACGGACATAGGTGGGGAGTTCATGGACCAGGGGGGAGAAACTGGAATCAAGATAAATGGAGATAAGATCGGTAGGGCAGGAGCAGGCAGAGACAATGGGTCGATCCAGGGCAGTCGGGTTTGTGGATTTTGGGAATCCAGCTCAGCTCATCCCCGCCTCCTTGACCTGTCCGTTTGTCCTCCCACCTATCCGTTCCTCCCAACTCACTGATCAACCCCCACACCCACCTCCTACCTACCGGCCTCATCCCCACCTCCCTGACCTGTCCATTTTCCCCAGTTGACCAACCCCCATCCCAACTCCCGACCTACCCTCACCTTTACTGGCTCCATCCCCATCTCCCTGATCTGTCCATCTTCTCTCCGCCTATGTGCTCCTTTATCCACTTTCCATCAGCGCCTCCCCCCTCTTTCTATTTATTCCAGAGTCCCCTTCCCCTCCCCCATTTCTGAAGAAGGGTCCAGACCTGAAACGTCAGCTTTCCCACTCCTCTGATGCTGCTTGGCCTGCTGTGTTCATCCAGCTCTACACCTTGTTATCTCAGATTCTCCAGCATCAACAGTTCCTACTATCGCTGAGCCAATATATGGAACTGCTGATGATAAGGGAGATACTAAATGAGTATTTTGCATCAGTGTTTACTGTGGTGAAGGATATGGAAGATATACAATGTGGGCAAATAAATAATGAGATCTTGAAAAAATGTCAATATCACAGAGGAGGAGATGCTGGATGGCTTAAAATGCGTAAAGGTGGATAAATCCCTGGGGACTAATCGGGTGTACCCTAGAACTCTGTGGGAAACTAGGGAAGTGATTGCTGGGCCCCTTTGCTGAGAAATTTGTATCATCGATAGCCACAGGTGAGGACCCAGAAAACTGGAGGTTGGCTAACATGGTGCCACTATTTAAGATGTTAAGGAAAAGCCAGGGAACTACAGACCAGTGAGCCTGACATCAGTATTGGGCAAGTTGTTGGAGAGAATCCTGAGGGACAGGATTTATATGTATTTGAAAAGGCAAGGACTGATTAGGAATTGTCAACACAGCTTTGTGCATGGGAAATTGTGTCTCACTAGCTTGACTGAGTTTTTTGAAGAAGTAACAAACAGGATTAATGAGGGCAGAGCGGTGGACATGATCTAAATAGACTTCAGTAAGGTGTTTAACAAGGTTCCTCATGATAGACTGGTTAGCAAGCTAAGATCAAATGGAATACAGGGAGAACTAGCCATTTAGATACAAAACTGGCTCAAAGGTAGAAGACAGAGGTGGTGGTGGAGGGTTGCTTTTCAGACTGAAGACCTGTGACCAGCAGTGTGCCACAAGGTTCGGTGCTATATGAACATAGGAGGTATGGTTAGCAAGTTTGCAGATGACACCAAAACTGGAGATGTACTGGACAGCGAAGAAGGTTACCTCACAGTACAATGGGATCTTGATCACGTGGGCCAATGGGCCATGGAGTGGCTGATGGAGTTTAATTTAGATAAATGTGAGGTGTTGACATTTTGGAAAGGCAAATAAGGGCAGGACTTATACAATTAATGTTAAGGTCCTGGGGAGTGTTGCTGAACAAAGAGATCTTGGAGTGCAGGTTCACAGTTCCTTAAAAGTGAAGACGCAGGTAGACATGATAGTGAAGAACATGTTTGGTACGCTTGCCTTTATTGGACAGTGCATTGAATATAGGAACTGGGAGGCCATGTTGTGACTGTACAGGACATTGGTTAGGCCACTTTTGGAACTGTGTTCAGTTTTTGTCTCCCTGCTATAGGAAGGTTGTTGTGAAACTTGATAGGGTTCAGAAAAGATTTATAAGGATGTTTCTGGGGTTTGAGGGCTTGAGCTATAGGGAGAAGCTGAATAGGCTGGGGTTATATTCCCTACAGCTTCAGAGACTGAGGGGTGACCTTATAAATGTTTATAAAATCATGAGGGGCATGGAGAGGGTAAATAGACAAGGTCATTTGCCCAGAGTGGGGGAGTCCAAAACTAGAGGGCGTAGATTTAAGGTGGGAGGGGAAAGATTTAAAAGGGACCTAAGGAGCAACTTTTTCACACAGAGGGTGGTGTGTGTATGGAATGAGCTGCCAGAGGAAATGGTGGAGGCTGGTACAATTACAACATTTAAAAGGCATCTGGACGGGTATACAAATAAGAAAGATTATGAGGGATATGGGCCAAAGGCTGGCAAGTAGGACTAGATTTATCTAGGATATCTGGTCAGCATGGATGAGTTGGACTGTTTCTGTGCTGTACAACTCTATGACTCTGTGACTTTACGAGGTGTGCAGACGTCCAGACTCTCAGTTTACCGGCCGCCCAGCACTGTCACCTGCGACCTAACGGTGGAAATGGTCACATACAAAGTCACATTCAGGACCAGGACAATGGAATACGCGGGAACAAACAGATCTGTTTGCTGCATGCTGATCGGAGAGTGCGGAGAAAGCCAGAAAACAATTACAGGCAATTGGCTGCAAGCAGACTTGGAGCGAGGAGCTGTAAGTAGGTTGTGCAGCTCAAAACCTGAATGCAAAGCATCCATTCAGCCTGTGGGCAGTGGAGCTGATTCCTCAGAAAGGGGTGCAGCTCAAAACTTGCACACAATGCATCTATTCAGCCCCCGGGGGCAGTGGAGCTGATTCATCAGAAAATGGAAGAATATAGTAATCTTGAAATTAACCCAGAAGCTCCTGGAAATAGGCAGTGAATCTTATGACAGCCAGAAAAGATAGGGGACAGCTAGACCTTCCAACTTAGCAGGAGGCTGAATGGCTAATCTCCATGAAACTGGATCCACACAAAGTGGGCAGAGAGGTGGGTGAGGGCAGATCGTCCATGATGCCCAAGCCTCATTGTGGAAGGGAGGTTTCATTTGTCATTTCGCATGTCAGGGTTCAAATCCTTCCCTGCTCTCAACATCTCCCCCGCTCCATCCTCTCCCCTACCTCTGTTCTCTCCTCTGGTCCAACAATCCCCGCACTCCAATTCCAGCCGCTTCCCACCCCTGATTTTTTTTTGAGTGTCCTGGGGTTCTAAGCTCTGGAATTCCCTCCCTGAAAAGCTTCATGCCAATCTCTTTCTCTCACCTCCCCACTGCCCCGAGTCATCTTTGAACGTGTTTGTGGATCAGCCAGCCTCAGACACAGCGCAGGTGTCACTGTTCATCATTTACTTCCCTGTGAAGCACCTTTTGGGACCTTTCACCACATGAAGGTGCCAGAACATTGCAGGTTGCTTTTGTTGCTGGACTATTTGATAATGGAAGGTATCGTGGCCCAGTCTTGTTCAATACTAGCGTGAACGGTTTTCACCGTTTCCTTGCCAATCCATGGCAGAAAGCCTAATAATACATGTTTTCATAAGTCAACCCCTTCATCCCATAATTCAGATTGGTGAACCTCTTATGAACTGCCTCCATTGCCAACATACCTTTCTTGGCAGTGACCAAGGATGGGAAGCGAGGGTCTAATAGTATTATTGCTGGACTCTTAATCTCATGACCCAGGTAATGTTCTGGGGACCAAGGTTCAAATCCTGCCGTGGCAGATGGTGGAATTTGAATTAAAAAAATACCTGGAATCGAGAATCTAATAACAACCATGAATTGATCATTGGAAAAACCCATCTGGTTCACTCATGTCCTTTGGGGAAGGAAGCTGCCATCATTCCCTGGTCTGGTCTACACGTGACTCCAGACCCACAGCAATGGGGCCAACTTTTAACTGCGATCTGGGTAATTAGGGATGGGCAATAGATGTTGGGCCCAGCTCGTGATGCATTCATCCCGTGAATCAAGTTTAAAACTGTACACAGTACTCTAGATGCACACTCAGTGGTATCCCTATAGATTCAATACAGAATCCCTAGAGTGTGGACGGAGGCCATTCAGCCTATCGAGTGTGCACCAACCCTCCGAGTAGCATCCCATCCAGACCAAGACCCCATTCTTTCCCCATAACCCCACATTTACAGTGGCTAATCCAGCCTGCACAAAAAAAACACACCCAAAATCTTAATCTCCATTTGTATCTGTTGTCATACTTAGCAAAGCTCATTTCAAATAGTCAAATTTAACCCCGGGAGACAAACCACATAAATCTGGTACACTAATAAACATATTCAACTAACATGTAATATGATCAGGAAGATTTCAAGCAATTTAGGATACACTTGTATCAAGACTTCCCTATTTTAAAACTTCAACTTCTGAGCTAGAGAAAGTAAAATTCGATTTGCCTTCTTCTTTGCTTGCTGCTCAGTGATGGTGACTGTGACAACTACCACTGAAGTTAAAAACCCGACTGGTTCACTGCTGTCCTTTAGTGAGGGAAATCTACCCAGGCTGGCCTACGTGTGACTCCAGACTCACAACAATGTGCTTGACTCTTAATTGCCCTCTGCAATGGCCCAGCGAGACCCTCAGTTCAAGAGGTGATGGGGAAAGGGCAATAAATACCAGGCTTGCCCAGCGATGCCACATCTCACAACATAATTGTTGAGCAAATTAATCCACCCTGCTTTGATTTCCAGGTGGATGAGTATGAAATCAGCAGTGACCAGGACCTTGGGACCATTTGATTTGTGGATTTGGAGGTGACCCAGTTCCTGCTGGCGGATTATTTGTCACTGGGACAAGATTACTGGTTCTGCTGCTCTGTGACGGTGGTGACCCCCTCGGGAGACACTTTGGATTTCCCCTGCTACAAGTGGCTGGACAAGTGCACCGTCCGTCTGCGGGAAGGGACAGGTGAGATAGAATCATAGAATCCCAACAGTGTAGATAGATGCCATTCGACTCATTGAGTCTGCACCAACCCTCCAAAGAGCATCCCACCCAGCCTCAGCCCCCAACGCATCCTCGTAACCCTGCATTTACCCTGGCTAATCCACCTAGCCTGCATAAAAAAATACCAAAAAACCTTAATCTCCATTTGTATCAGCTGTCATACTAATCAAAAATCATTTAAAATAGTCAAATTTAACTTCGGGAGACAAACTACATAAATCTGGTACACTAATAGACTTACTGAACTAATACTTAATTTGATCAGGAAGATTTCTAGCAATTTAGGATACATGGAAGAAACCCACATTGCATTACACATTTATGGAAGAGACTGGTATTAATATTTCAAACGCACCTTTGGTTTCTTCAATTTGCGTGGTAGCTGTCACCAGGTGTACGATCAATCAGCATTTGCATGGCCTGATGAATGGTGCACATGGCACTACAGGGCAATTTAGCATGGCCAATCCACCCAACCTGCACATAGAGTCATAGAGTCATACAGAGCGAGAGACTTTTTCCTAGGGTGGAGGTAGCTATTTTGAGGGGGCATAGTTTTAAAGTGACTGGAGGTAGATATAGGGGAGACGCCAGAGGCAGGTTCTTTACTCAGAGAGTGGTCGGGGCGTGGAATGCATTGCCGGAGAGGGTAGTGGAGTCGGCCTCATGAGGGGCATTTAAGCGGCTATTATATAGGCAAATGGATGATAGAGTAAGGTAGGGGTGGAGGTTAGATAGACCTTAGGATTAGGGTAAAAGTTCAGCACAACATTGTGGGCCGAAGGGCCTGTATTGTGCTGTACTGTTCTATGTTCTATGTTCAATGTTTTATGTTCTAGCACAGAAACAGATCCTTTGGTCCAACCAGATCATGCAGAACATAATCCTAAACTAAACTAGTCCCACCTGCATGCTGCTGGCCCATGTCCCTCCAAACCTTTCCTATTTATGTACTTATCCAAATATCTTTTAAATGTTGTAACTGTACCCACATCAAGCACTTCCTCAGGAAGTTCATTCCATACGCGAGCTATCCTCTGTGTAAAAAATTTGCTCCTCATGTTTTTTTTAAATCTTTCTCCTCTCGCCTTAAAAATGTGCCCCAGTCTTGAAATCCCCCACCCTAGGAAAAAGACAACTACCATTAACTCCATCTATATCGCTCATTATTTTATAAACTTCCGTAAGGTCGCCTCTCAACCTCCTCCGTTTCAGCGAGAAAAGTCCCTGCCTATCCAGCCTTTCTTTATACCTCAAACCTTCCATACCCATCAATATCCTTGTAAATCTTTTCTGAACTCTCTCCAGCTTAATAATATCCTTCCTATAACAGGCCAACCAGAACTGGACAAAGTATTCTAGAAGAGGCCTCACAAAATCCCACACAACCTCAACATGACATCCCAACTGCTATACTCAAAGGACTGAGCAATGAAGGGAAGCGTGCCTTTTTACCACCCTCTCTACATGTGACACAAACTTCAAAGAATTAAATACCTGGACGCCAGATCCTTCTGTTCTACAACACTACCAAAGGCCCTACCATTAATTATATAAGCCCTACCCTTGTTTGTTCTACCAAAATGCAATAGCTCGCATTTATCCAGGTTGAACTTATCCAGATCCCTTTGTAATCTTAGAAAACCTTCTTCACTGTCTACTATGCCACCAATTTTGCTATTGCCCACAAACTTACTAACCATGCCTTCTATATTGTCATATCAATCATTTATTTAAATGACAAACAAAAGAGGACCCAGAACCAATCCCTGTGGAACACCACTGGTGACAAAAACAACCCTCCACCACCACCACCGCCACCACCACTCTCTGTCTCTCGCTGGAGCAAACCCACACAGATACAGGAAGAACATGCAAACTCCACACAGTCACTCAAAGCTGGGATTGAACCTGGGACCCAAGCACAGTGAAGTAGCAGTGCTAATGACTGAGCCATCCTTAGCCCCTAGGCTGGAGCTGGATGATATAGCCTGAGGGAAGAAGGTGGTGGTGGGGTAGGTGTTTAATCAAACCGAAGTATCTAAATAGCTTTCAGACACACCCTCAACAACCACATGTGCTCAGACAGGAGCTCAGCAGCCAAAAGGGCAGTTATTGTTGGAGGAAATACTGCAGCTCGAGGACTCACTTCCCCTCACTCCTCCAGGACTCGAACACCCCTCGCGCTGCTCCAGAACTCACTCCCCTCGCGCTGCTCCAGAACTCACTCCCCTCGCGCTGCTCCAGAACTCACTCCCCTCACGCTGCTCCAGGACTCATTTGCCCTCGCATGCTTTAGGACTCATTCCCCCTCACGCTGCTCCAGGAGTCACGACCCCTCGCGCTGCTCCGGGACTCACCTCCCCTCGCGCTGCTCCAGGACTTGTTTCCCTCGTGTTGCTCTGGGACTTGTTTCCCCTCATGTTGCTCTGGGGCTCGTTGCCCCTTGTGTTGCTCTGGGTCTCATTTCCCCTCGTGTTTCTCTGGGATTTGTTTCTCCTCTCGCTTCTCTGGGACTCGCTCCCCTTGCACTGTTCAGGGTCTGCTTCCCTGCACATCGTTTCAGGACTGCTAAAAAGAGAGAAAAAATTTTTAAAAAGAGCAGAGAAGCTCTAGTGGAGCATCCTACTCTGCCGCCATCTGACTGGAAACATAAAAGTTTGTACACACGTATGAACAGATTCAAGAACAGTTTCTTTTAGATACAGTTATGGAGTCACAGTGTCATACGGCATGGAAACAGACACTTCAGTCCAACCAGTCCATGCCAACCATGTTCCTAATCAAAACTAGTCCCAACTTTGTGTGAAGAGTTGCTTCCTGAATTCTCTCCTGAGTTGTCTGCCTCTTTAACTTCAGCATTGAGCTGCACCCTCACTGCAAGTAAGGACATACCAGCCAAGAATGCCACTGAAACAAAAACATAAATTGTTGGAAAACCTCAGCAGGCCTGGCAACATCCGTGGAAAGAAATCAGAGTTAACGTTTTGAGTCCAGTGACCCTTCTTCAGAACTGAATGCCACTGTCTCAGCTTCTGTTTTAAAAGTTTCTGGCCTTGAATTGTTTCATTTATGCTGTCATCTCAAAGCTCTACAAATTGTTCCACAAGGTGCTCATTCTGGTGACAGACTGAAATGTTAGACCTGGGCCTGTGTTTGGCCTCAGGATCTCTTATCTGCTGCAGTTGCACACTCCCTGTTCCTCCACACACTTCACTCGAATTACGCAGTATTTTAATTGTGATTCTTTTCTTTTTTTTCCCTCAGGATTAAAAGGATCAAAGGGTGTGGGGGAGAAAGCAGGAACAGGGGACTGAGTTGAATTATCAGCTGTGATCATATTGAATGGCAAAGCATGCTCGAGGGGCCGAATGGTCTACTCCTGCTCCTATTTTCTGCTTCCATTCAATTTTACCTTGTATCTTGCTGCTGGCTGTTCATTATTCTATAGATGTGCACACATTTGCTCTCCATGTTAAATTCCATCCTGTAACTCTAATTCTCTATTCTGAATGCTGCTTTACAGCAAAGCGAGTCTGTGATGACCGGTTGCCTATATTTAAGTCCCACCGTCAGGACGAACTGCTGGAGAGGCAGAGGCTGTACAGATAACTTCCAGAGACTTTAGATTCATTCATGGGGACACTCAGAATGCACAGCAACTGGTGATGAGCTTAGAGTCATACAGCACAAATCAAGCCCTTCGGCCCAACATGTCCCCGCTGATTAGATATCCTAAATTAATTTAGTCCCATTTGCCTGCATTTGGCCCATGTCTATCTAAACCTTTCCTATCCATATGCCTGTCCAAATGTCTTTTAAATGTTGTAATTGTACTCATGTCTACTTGTTCCTCTGACAGCTCATTCTATATACACGCCACCCTTTGTGTGAAAATGTTGCCCCTCAGGTCCCTTTTAAATCTTTCCCCTCTCACCTTAAACCTATACCCTCTAGTTTTGAACCCCCTCAACCTGGGGAAAAGACCTTGTCTATTCACCCTATCCATGCCCTTCATGATTTTAAAAACTTTCATAAGATCACCCCTCAGCCTCTGACGCTCCAGTGAAAAACCCAACCTATCCAGCCTCCCCTTATAACTCAAACCCTAATCTTGGTAATATCCTTGTCAATCTTTTTGCACCCTTTCCCGTTTAATAAAATCCTTCCTGTAGCAGGGCGACCAGAATCTTTCTGCTCCAAGGGTCTCAGGGATAAAGCTGTGGCATGAGAATATCCAAGGGGACTGTCCTTTTAAGCATGTAACAGGTGTCTAAAGATGAGGGCTGGACATATGCAGTTACACTTCTTTGTAGACCAGATGGTTAAGAAGGCGTTTAGCGCGCTTGCCTTCATTGCTCAGACCTTTGAGTGTAGGAATTGGGATGTCATGTGGGCTTGTACAGGACGATGGTGAGGCCTCTTCTCGAGTACTCTGTCCAGTCCTGGCCACCCAGTTGTGGAAAAGGATATTATTAAGCTTGAGAGGGTTCAGAAGAGATTTACCAGGGTGTTACCAGGAATGGAGGGTTGGAGGTATAAGGAGAGGCTGGATAGGCTGGGACTTTTTGTTCACTGAAGCATCAGAGGCCGAGGGGTGACTTTATACAAGTTTATAAAATCATGAGGGGCATGGATAGGATAAATACCGAAGGTCTTTTTCCTAAGGTAGGGGAGTCCAACACTATGGGGCATATTTTTAAGGTGAGAGGAGAAAGATTTAAAAGGAACCTGAGGGGTGACAGTTTTCACACAGAGTGTGGTTCTTGTGTGGGAATAACTGTCAGAGGAATTCGTTGATGCAGGTACAGTTACAACGTTTAAAAGACATTTGGATAGGTACATAAATGGGAAAGGTTTACGACGATTTTGGCCAAACGCAGACAAGTGGTCGGCATGGACAACTTGTGCTATACGACTGCAGCAAGTTTGGATCGGATGTGAAGAACAAATGTTTCATCCAGAGGATAGTGGAAATCTGGAGCACACTGCCTGTAAGAGTAGTGGAGGCAGAAACCTTCATAACATTTAAGAAGACATTTAGCACACTTGCCTTTATTGCTCAGACCAATGAATAAAGGAGTTGGGACGTCATGTTGAGGGTGGACAGACGTTGGTGAGGCCTATTCTGGAGTACTGTGCTGAGTTCTGGTTGCCTGGTCATAGAAGGGATATTATTAAGCTGGAGAGGGTTCAGAAGAGATTTACCAGATGTTGTCCAGATTGTAAGATTTAACTTATAAAGAAAGGCTATAGGCTGAGACATTTTTCACTGGAGCATAGGAGGTTGAGGGGTGACCTTATAAAGTTTCATAAAATCATGAGGAGTATAAATAAGGCGAATGGTAGTTGTGTTTTCCCTAGGATGGGGGATTTCAAGACAAGGGGGCATATTTTTACGGTGAGAGGAGAAAGATTTAAAAAAGACATGAGGGGCAACTATTTTACACAGAAGGTGGTGAGGAATTAACTTCCTGAGGAAGTGGTGGATGTGCATACAACTACAACATTTAAAAGACATTGCGATCAGTACATGAATAGTAAGGGTTTGGAGAGATATGGGCCAAGTGCAGGCAGGTGCGACTAGTTTAGTTTAGGATTATGGCTGGTATGGACTGGTTGGACCGAAGAGTCTGTTTCCATGCTGTATGAGTCTATGACTATGAATATTTAAATGTGCACTTGCCATGTAAATGCACATAAGGCTATGGGCCAAGAGCTGGAGAATAGTTCTACAGTTGTTTTTGACTGGCGCAGCCTCAATGGGCTGAAGGGCCTTTTCTGTGCTCCATGGCTCTATGAGTATGACTGAACATTAACCTCTGGATTACTAGTCTAGCCATATTTCCACTATGCCATCATTGTGCCATAGGTGTTGCTCTTCAATTTTAAACCTTCATGGCTACAACAACAACAGATTGAACAACTCAATCCCCGACTTTCCCTGTGGCTTAACAGTACTCTCTTCCTGTTCTAGGTGGAAGTCATGGGCCCCCAACATGCATTAACGCTGAGACAGTGGATGACCTGCCCCTGGACATGGGGTCCACTTGTGAGAAAGAGCGCAACTTCCAATTCTCATTGGCAGCAGCATAGGTATCACCTTGAATCCCTGAGAATGAACACCTGTCCATCTCAGATTGATAACAGCATTTGCTATTGGCACAAGACAAGTTCGAACTTCTAGCAAAATCCCTACCTCTTCTATAAAAGATCCACAATCATTTTTTGACCCCCAAGGCTGAGAGTGTAACTGGTCTAATAATGTCTAACCCAGCTATGGAATCGAGGTCCTGGCATTTCCTGTAGTCAGTGGACATCATTTGGTTTCTCAGCATCTCAATCCCAAATGTTCTAATAGCTGCATAAACAACTACTTTAAGACAATCAATTGAGCTTAAAATAATCAGGTTTATGAACCAGCTAATTTGTGCTTGCTGAAGTAAACATAAAGATCTGCACTAAAGGAATATGTTCGAGCCTCGCACTGCTTTTAAATTAGCCAGGAGCTTGGGCAGTCTGTAGTTCCCCGATGATTCCTCCATGGCAACACCTCGACTAACCAGAGTAGATTTGCCAACCAAACAGCATCCTTTTCTCCTATAGTGCGATCGTTAGAAATTTGGCATTCTTGTATTTTGTCCTGACAAGCATGAGACGAGAAACCGAAGTCCCACATCTCTCTTTTCAGCAATGTTCTGAGCTCAGGGTCAGCACATATAGTCAGAGGATTGGCTCACTATCTAATGAGTGAGAGAGGCCACAACCTTGGGTTGGCACAATGGCTCAGTGATTAGCACTGTTGCCTCACAGTACCAGGAACCTCAGTTGAATTCCAGCCTCAACGACTGTGGAGTTTGCACATTCTCCCAATGTCTGCATGACTTTCATCCAGGTGCTCTGGTTTCCTCCCACAGTCCAAAGATGTGCAGGTTAGGTGGATTAGCCAAGGGAAATGCAGGATTACAGGAATTAGTCTGGGTGGGATGCTCTTCCACACTGTAGGGATTCTTTGATTCTTTGTCTAATGGCCCCTGGTTTCTATGTGTTTATTTAGTTTTGGATTCCTGCATTTGAAGAAGTTTATGAATATGTTTGGAGGAGAATGGACCACTGTCGAGGACTTTGACAAAATCTTCTGGAAAGTGAACAGCTCCATTGCAGGTACTGGTCAAAAATTTGGAAAGGGATGATTAGGATCCTAACCAAATGCAGCACCACAATAATAAAAACACTGCACTAATTGAAAGAAAACAAAGGACTGGGGATGCTAGAAATCAGAAACAAAAACAGAAATTACTGGGAAAATTCATCAGGTTTAGCAGCATCCGTAGAGAGAAAACAGATTTAATGTTTGTTTCTCCACAGATGCTGCCAGACCTGCTGAGTTTCCCCAGCAATTTGTTTCTGTCATTATATCTAGCACACTGAAAGAACACACAAGGAGGAAGAAACTTGCATTCGCATACCGCCCTGTTGGCTTGTGACATCCCAAAGTTCTTTATGGCTATTGAAGGACTTTGAAAGGTCTTTGTGCAGTAGCCAACATGTACACAGCAAGCTCCCATATAGAACAATGTGAGAACAATATGATAATTCTTTTGTTTCATGGTATGGCATGGGGGAAGGTATGTTTGACCAGGATGCCAGGGAGTATCCCCTCACTCCTCTTGAAGGAATGGTCCTTCTACCTTCAGCTTGAGAGGGTGGACAGGGCCTGAGTTTAACAGTCGAGAGATTCCAACTTCAAATCCCAGTCACTCCACCTCCGCCACTTGTCTCTGTTGCTCTCCTAGGGAGCAGGTTGGAAACACTCTTCCATGATCCTGCCCAGTAGTGGGTGCATCCCTGGTGAGGTCTGCTGGCACTTCCCAAGCCCTATTTGGTCCCTGCCTGGACTGTGACTGCTCATTCCTTCTAGCCACCCCGGCACATGAGAATGGAGACTGGAGAAAGTGGGTAAGATGACCTGGGCCGAAGCGGGCCTTGACCCTCCAGACGTGCTCTTCATTCTTTGCAAAGATCCACACAAGTGAACCTGAGGCTCAAACGGAGAGAGAAGAACCCTTATTACAACATCCCATCCCCTCAAACTGTCAAATGCACAGAAGGAAGCCACTTTGCTCAGCTGGCTCTGTACAGTAATCCAGTCAGTCCCATTCCCACCTCCCCACCACTACCACCCACCACCCACTCCCCACCCTCCCCCAACTCTATCCTTGTGGCCTTGCAAGTTTATTTCTCTCAAGACCACATCCAATTTATGTTTGAATGATTCCGTTGTGGACCAGACCAAAGGGCCTCAAATTATATCAAGGAGATGGCCTAGATCCAAACTTTTATCTTATTTAAATGCAAGTGTAAGGTGCTATAATCTAGGTGTGATTCGATTGGTCAAGCTACTAGGCTTTAAGCAAAACACACTTCATTCTTACACCACAGTTAAAACACTAACAAAAAAAAAATTGGCGTAACTTGGCGGAAATACTTTACAGCATAATAGATTATTTAACTACTACTCATCAACTGTTCCAATATAGCAGCATCCCATAAACACACCCTTGGCAAAGGCAGATTCACTTGTGATCTCCTCCAGTCCAGGAGAAGGAACACTGACAGAATGAATCTAGCAGCAAGGAGAGAGAACTCGAGCTTTTTGCAGCAGCAGAGAGAGAGATTTATCCAGCAGCTTCAACTCCAAAAACCCCCAAGAGAAAGCAAAAACTAAAACGCTGGTTCGGTATGAGCCTGACTCCACCCACTCACGCTTCTTTTGTGTAATTTTAAAAAACGCAAAAGTTATTTACTCAGACACCTTGGTGCCTGATTTATAACACACGTCTTAAAGAAAAACAGGATAGAACAATTCCCTCTTAAAGGCACACCTCATCACATTCCTCACTTCCTCTCAGTACATAAAAGCATTTCTCCTTACACCCCCACCCAAATCCTCACCCCCGCTTCCAACATCTTTTGGAATCTGTGCCTCCCACCCTCCACTCTAGCCTTTGCACTACCAGCTAATGGAATAGCTGGACCCTGTTTGCCTTACTGAAATCTGTCACTATCTTACACCTCCATCAAATCTCCCCTCAATCTGTACGGTCCAACCAAACTATGTTACTAAAATCCTTCACCCCTGGACCTATGCTGGTAAATCTCCGCTGTATCATTTCAAGGAATCTAGAAAGACTGAATGGCCTGCCTTTACTCATATTTCCTATGCTTGCCAAAGGTACCCAATCCTAGAAATTTCTCATTCTTCATAATTTTCAATGTGCTTCTGAAATGGTATCATTCTTCATCAAATCTTCATCAAAGTCCTTACATTGCTGAAGGGTATATCTTGTCGAAGATTTTCATCTTACACTCATCAGGACAATTCGCAAGAAATAGCAAAACTAAAGGGAAAGCAAAATTTATACTTTGTGGGAAGAGAGTACTGTTGGTGCTCAAGGGCTCAGTTTGGTGGAAGACTGCAGCCACTAATGATGACTGGTAGTTAACCGCCAAGCTTTGTTTAAATTTTTAATTCAGGCAGGTTGACTCTGATGAGTGAAGGCAACATCCTGAGAAATAAAAAAGCGAGTAGCTGTCACTTATTTTGCTGATTTGGAACTGAGGCAGTGCAGATTTTTTTTTTGTCTGCCTGCAAATAACAGGGCCCTGGGTGACAACATACATAACTTCCAATACACACAAGTGTGCCACTCTGTAAACCCAACTTTCAATACCAAGGTCAGAGTCCACTAATTTCAAAGTTAATCACAGAATCATAGAGTAAAGGCCCTTCGGCCATTCAGTCTGCACAAAAACTATTCTAAATCCACATTAGTTCCATTTTCAGCACTTTTTTAATAGTCACTCATGGGGTATGGGTATTGCTGGCTGGGCCAGCATTTATTGCATGTCCCTAGTTGCCCTTGAGAAAGTGGTGGTGAGCTGCCTTCTTGATTCGCTGCAGTCCACATGTTGTGGATAAATCCATAATGCCCTGAGGGAGGGAGTTTCAGGATTTTGACCCAGCGACACTGAAGGAACAGCCGATATACTTTCAAGTCAAATGGTGAGTGGCTCAGAGGGGAGTTTGCAGAGGCTGGCATTTCCGTGTATCTGCTGCCCTAGATGGTACGTAGATAGGTCATGGGTTTGGAAGGTGCTGCCTAAGGATCTTTGGCAAATTTTTGCAGTGTATCTTGTAGACGGTATGCACTGATGCTACTGAGCATCAATGGTGGAGGGAGTGGATGCTTGTGGATGTGGCGCTAATCAAGCAGGGGCTGCTTTGACCTGGATAGTGTTGAGTTTCTTCAGTGTTCTTGGAGCTGCACCCATCCAGCAAGTGGGGAGTATTCCCTCACACTCCTGACTTGTGCCTTGTCGAAGATGGACAGGCTTTTGGGAGTCAGGAGGTGAATTACTCTCCGCAGTATAGCCTCTAACCTGCTCATGGAGCCGCTGTGTTTCTGTGGCAAGTCCAGTTGAGTTACTGGTCAATGGTAACCCCTGGAATGTTGATAGTGGGGGATTCAGTGATGGTAACGCCATTGAATGTCAAAGGGCAGTGGGTAGACTGTCTCTTATCAAAGATAGTCATAGCGTGGCATTTGTCTGGCACAAATGTTAGTCGCCACTTGTCAGCCCAAGCCCGGATATGGTCCGGATCTTGTTGCATTTGAACATGGACTGCTTCAGTATCTGATGAGTCACAAATGATGCTAAACATTAGGCAATCATTAGTGAACATGCCCACTTCTGACCTTATGATCATTGATGAAGTAGCTGAAGATAGAGTCATAGAGTCATAGACTCATACAGCGCAGAAACAGACCTTTTGGTCCAAATCGTCCATGTCGACCAGTTTTCCCAAACTAAACCAGTCCCATTTGCCTGCATTTGGACCACATCCCTCTAAACCTTTCCTATTTGTGTACCTGTCCAAATGTCTTTTAAATTTTGTAACTGCGCCTGCATCTACCACTTCATCTGGCAGTTCATTCCATATATGAACCACTCTCTGTGTGAAACAGTTGTCCCTCATGCCTATTTTAGCTCTTGCTCGTCTCACTTTAAAATTGTGCCATCTGGTTTTGACCTCCCCTACTCTAGGGAAAAAATCTTTTCTATTCAACTTATCTATGCCCTTCACAACTTTATAAACCTCTAAAAGGTTACCCCTCAACCTCCTATGCTATGATGGTTGGGCATAGGACACTACCCTGAGGAACTCTTGCAGAGATATCCTGGAGCTGAAATGACTGACCTCCAATAACCACCTTCATTCGTGCTGGCTATTACACAAATCAAGTGGCAAGTTTTCCCCCTGATACCCATTGATTCCAGTTTTGCTAGGGCTCCTTGATGCCACACTCAGTCAAACGCAGCCTTGATGTCAAGGGCTGTCACTCTCACCTCTGGAATTCAGCTCCTTTACCCATATTTGAACCAACGCTGTCATGTGATCCCTAGAGGAACCCAACTGTGCGTCAGTGAATAGGCTTTTGTTAGCTCCAAATGCTCATTTGTTTTCTGTTTCGTTTCCTTCCTCCCTCCACCTCAGTCTTCACCAGGGACCACTGGAAGGAAGACTGGTTTTTTGGATACCAGTTCCTGAACGGCTTCAACCCTGTCCTGATCCAGAGATGCACCAAACTCCCAGAAAACTTTTCCGTGACGGAAGCCATGGTCAAGACATCTCTGAGCCCCTCCACCCTGGAGCAGGAAATGAAGGTTCGTTTGTGACTTGACCTTTAGCCCCTTGTGGGTCAGAGTTTCAACGGAGGCACAGACAACCTGGGCAGGAGCTGTCCTCCAGCGCGGTTTACTGGCAAAGGCTCTGTCCCATCAGGGACAGCACACGGGGACAGGATAAACCAGAAAAACAAATGGAGTTGACGGAACTGGACCTGAACCTGACTTCCTGAAAATGGAGCTCAGAGCAGCAATGTTATTTCCACGTTTTATTGGATTTTTAGAAGGTTTTTCCTTCTACTTCTCCCCAACCCTGGGGAGGTGGGGTACACTTGGAGGTCACAATAGGTAATGGGAAAGTGAGACTTGGTATGAGGTAGAATATGGAGCAATAGAGTAGTCCCAGATCCTCCCTAAGTGGAAGATCTGGATGTCTGCAGCAACAGGAGATCCACACTGATGTTATCTGGTATGGAACAGCATAGATATGAAGGGAAGCTGGATAAGAATCATAGAATCCCTGTAGTGCAGAAAGAGGCCATTTGTCCTATTGACTCTGCAACTCAAGACAAGCATCCCACCCAGACCCCACATTTCCCATGGCAAACCCACCTAACTTACACACGCCTGGACACTAAGGGCAATTTAGAATGGCCAATCCATCTAACCTGTACATCTTTGGACTATGGAAGGAAACCTATGCAGACACAGAGAGAATGTGCAAACTCCACACAGACAGTCACCCAAGGGTGGAATTGAACCTGGTGCTGAGTCACCAGTGCTAACCAGTGGGCCACCATACCACCCAGTGCACTTGGGTTGTCTTCTTTAGGACAGAGAAGGTTGATGGGGGTAGTGGAACTGCTTGAGGTATATAAGATAATGAGGGTCATTGGACAGGATGCTTAGGAAACAACCATTGTCCCTAGTTGAAGGGCAAAATGAGGGGCAAAATTTTAAGGTGAGGTGATTTGAGGAAAAATGGTTGCTGGGAATCTGGAATTAGCTTGAAGGGGGGAGGGGTAGTTGAGGCAGGAAACCTCACGCCTTTACAAAGTATATGAAAGCACGTGAATCCCTACAGTGTGGAGGTAGGCCAATTGGCCCATCTAGTCCACACCAACCCTCTGAAGTGCATCCCAACCAGACCCACCCCCTTACCCTATCCTTGTAACTTGCACTTCCCATGGCTCCTCCACTTAGCCCGTATATCTCTGGACACTATGGTAAATTTAGCATAGGCAATCCATCTAACCTGGTCATCTTTGGACTGTGGGAGAAAGCTGGAGCACCCAGAGGAAACCCATACAGACAGAGGTAGAATGTACAAACTCCACACAGACAGTCACCCAAGGATGGAATCGAACCCAGGTCTTTGGTGCTGTGAGGCAGCAGTGCTAACCACTGAGCCACCCTCATACTGTCATAACATTCAAGCTATGGGTCAAGTACTGAAAAGTGCAAGTTTCGAGTAGTTTTGACTCAACAGGCCAAAGGCCCTCTTCAGTAAGAATCGATGACACTGTCGTTGGATGACCCATGATTGTTCAGCACCTGTCTTGGTGTGATTCCCTATCTCTCTCTCTCTCTCTCTATGTCTGCCACAGGATGGCAAAGTCTTCATTGTGAACTACGAGATGCTGGAGGGCATTCCAGCCAATGTCATCAACGGTGTTCAGCAGTATCTCGCGGCACCCCTCTGCCTGCTCCACCTTGACAAACAGGACCGGATGGTGCCCATCGCTATCCAGGTGAGTGGCATTGGACCCACACCACGGCCTAGCCTGCCAACATCACCGTCACCACCTCAGCTCTGTGCCCTTGCAGCAGCCCCTCCAAAATCTGGGCAAAGTGCCCATCCTTCATCCCACCCAACCTCTTGGAGCATTCCCGATTTTAATTCCCACCCTCCATCCAATGTTCCCTCTAAACCACACGCTCATGAATCCGCTCCAATGTCCCTTGCTGATCAAGCATTGACTTTCCGGATGGTCATGGGCCTCTGAGGCCTGCAGATCCAGAAAGAAAGTGAGGGAGAATGCTGTGGTCTGCACTGCATGGATTCCAATAAATCATAACACTGTGGGGGTTGGAAACCTCAAACACAGAGATCACTTGCCTTCATCAGTCATAACATTGAGTATGGGAGTTGGGACGTCATGTTGCTGCGTTTCAGGACATTGGTTAGGCCACTTTTGGAATACTGCATTCAGTTCTGATCTTCCTGCTATAGGAAAGATGTTGTGAAACTTAAAAGAGTATGGGAAAGATTTGCAAGGATGTTGCTGGGGGTGGAGGGTTTGAGCTATAGGGACAGGCTGAATGGGCTGGGGCTATTTTCCCTGGAGCATCAGAGGCTGAGGAGTGACCTTATAGAGGTTTATAAAATCATGAGGGACATGGGTAGGGTGAAAAGCTAAGGTCACTTTCCCAGGGTAAGGGAGTCCAAAACTAGAGGGCATAGGTTTAAGAGAGATAAAAGATATAAAAGGGACCTGAGGGGCAACTTTTTCACACAGAGACTGGTGCTTGCCAGAAGAAGTGATAGAGGGGGATACAATTATAGTGGTTTAAATGACATTTGGACAGATACATGGATAGGAAAAGTTTTGATGGATATGGGCCAATGCAGGCAAATGAGACTGGGTCAGTTTAGGAAATCTGGCATGAACAGGTTGGGCTGAAGGGTCTGTTTCTGTGCTGTATGACTTTATAAGTCTGGCAGCTGTTCGTGGGAGAAAGAGAAGCAGTTTTTTTTATTATTTACCCTACTTTTCTAATCAACCTGTTGAGTGATGTTCTTACATACCTGTGAAGCCGGACGGACTTGAACACAGACCTCCCAGTCCAGGGGTAGGGACACCACCACCACACCACAAGTGAAGTTAACATTACGAATCCAGTCCCAGTCCAACACCGGCCCCACCACACCACAAGTCCAGGCAACAAAGGTGTCTCTTTTGCCAGAGATGGATGTCAATGCCATAGTCACTGTGCGCAGACCCTCTGAGCATGCAGAAAGCCACACTGCTTGGAGGGAACATTGCACACAAACGTTCAGGAGTGCTACAACAGTCGTCTCTGGCCTCCAGCACACCTCTCCGATGTTAATAGTTCCAGTGCTGAGCTGGGAACCAGGAACTTGCTCTTTGAACCATTAATATCCTCCAGTACAGCTCCCCACTCCACACATCGCCTCCTCCCAGAAACCTTCAATTAGCCGCCCCCATGTGGCATCAAATTTTGATTGGGATCATGGCAGGGGTGCTATGCAAATGCAGTTGTCGCTGCTGTGTGGTTTCATGATGCTCCATCTTCACGTTGATTACAGCTGAAGCAGGCCCCGGGAAAAGACAATCCCATTTTCCTTCCCTCGGACGCAGAGCTCGACTGGATGCTGGCCAAGATATGGGTGAGGAGCAGCGACGCCCAACACTTTGAGCTGGTCTCCCACCTTCTGAAGACTCACCTAATCGCCGAGACCTTCTGCATCGCCACCATCCGGCAGCTGCCATCGGTGCACCCCGTCTCCAAGGTACACAACGGGCCGATGGAGGCATTCCCACCTGATTCTGGCAGAGCTCCCAGTCCCAACATGCGGGAAAAGCTGGATGGTTAAGGAGGAGTGCAGGACGTCAAGAGTTTTAATAGCACAGTGGTAGTGTCCCTACCTCAGAGGGACTGAGGGTAAATTCCACCCTCTGCCATGGTGGGATTCAAAGTCAGCTTCTCAGCATCTGCAGTAATTTGCCCCTTCCCAGAACACGGTTGCTCAGTGGTTAGCACTGTGCCTCACAGCAGCAGGGACCCAGGTTTGATCCCTCGGGCGACTGTCTGTGTGGAGTTTGCACGTTCTCCCCGTGTCTGTGTGGGTTTCCTCCGGGTGCTCCGGTTTCCTCCCACAGTCCAAAGATGTGCAGGTTAGGGTGGCCGTGCTAAATTGCCACATAATGTCCAGGGATGTGCAAGCTGGGTGGTTCAGCCATGGGAAATGCAGGGTTACGAGTATAGGGTTGGGTCTGGGTGGGATGCTTTTTGGAGGGACTTGATGGGTCAAATGGTCTATTTCCACACTGTCAGGATTCTCTGAATATTACCTGGGTCTCAAGATTAATAGCCCAGTGATAATACCACCAGACTATCGCTTCCCCCAGTCTGGCTCGCACAACTCACTTTGAGGGGTAAAGGTCTTTGGGTCCCTTCCAATCAGTTTGATTGTTCATTGTTGCTATTTCAGGGTGAGTTGCTTACACTTGCCTCCAGGTATCAGCTGATAAGACATAGGGGTGGATGGAGGTCATTCTGTCCCTTGAGTCTGCTCCGCCATTCAATGAGATCGTTGGCTTATCTGATAAATCTCAACTCCACTTTCCCTAGAATTCTGTGTTCATGTTTCAGCTCCTGACTCCTCATTTGAGATACACGATGCACATTAATGTCAAAAGCCGAATGGACCTGTTGGGGCCAGACGGACTTATTAACAAGGTGGGTTGAGCCCTGCGTAATCCCTTTGTTGCTATGCCAATATATTTTGATGAATTTTGTACTTGTTAAGATGTGGGGAGAATTCATAGAATCCATACAGTGCAGAAAGAAGCCTTTCAGCTCAATCGAGTCTGCACCGACCCTCCAAACTTCACTGTATCCAGTACATGTGACAATAAAAACGTTGTGGTTGTGTCTCCATAGTCTTGCCAGACCAAGGGCTTTCCTCTGTCATTAGGGAGAGGTGACTGGTGGTGGTTTAACCTGAAGGCCACCACACCTGAGGTGAGGGTTGAGGTTGAGAAGGAGATTTGTTCATGGTAACCTCAGCTAGTGATGGGAATTGAACCAATGCTGTTAGTATCACACTGCTTTGTGAGCCAACTAGCCAGCCAACTGAGCTAAACCAACATTGACAATAATAAACCTCAATCTGTCTCTCTATCCTCACAGATACTATAGTTAACACACCTAGCCTGCACACTACAGGACAATTTAGCATGGCCAATTCACCTAACCTGCATGCCTTTGGGCTGTGAGAGGAAACCAGAGCACCCAGAGGAAACCTGTGCAGTCATGGGGAGAATGTGCAAACTCCACACAGACTAAGGATGGAATCAAGCCTGGGTCCTTGGCAATGTGAGATAGCAGTGCTAACCACCGAGTCATAGTGCCAACCCAATTAGAACTGCAGCCTCACAACGCCAGGGATCTGGTTTGATTCCACCCTCAGGCGACTGTCTGTGTGGAGTTTGCACATTCCCCCTGTGCCTGGTAGGTTTCCTTTGGGTGCTCTAGTTCCCTATCACAGTCCAAAGGTATGCAGGTTAGGTAGATTGGCCGTGCTAAATTATCCCGTAGCATCCAGGGATGTGCAAGTTAAATGGATTAGCCATGGGAAATGCAGGGTTACAGGGATAGGGTAGGGTGTGGGTCTGGGTAGGATGCTCTTCGGAGAGTCAATGAGGACTCAATGGGCCAAATGGCCTGCTTCCACACTGTAGGGATTCTATGAATCTCTGATGATTTGATGCCAGGTTGTTAAGATGCTTCTCATTTAAAACACCCAAGGCTCCAAGGTATTCGAAGTGCTTTATGAAGTAACAGGAAGTGTAAGAGTTTACTGGCTGCGTCTGTCTAAACCCCTCCTTTACCCTGTCCACCTTCTCCCAGTATCTCCATGTCACAGGTAACAATGCATGCCTGTGCATTCTGGGTTAAGGGAATCTGCTCATTATCAAGAATTTCCTTGCCCTGACCCTTTCACTTTATAAACAGGAACACAGACAATAGGAGTAGGAGTAGGCCATTCATCCCTTAAACCCTACTCCACTATTCAATAGATTCATCCAACTCTATTCTTGTTTTCTCTCCGTACCCTTTAGCCCTAAGGACTATACCTAACTTCTTCTTGGAAACATTCAATGTTTTGTCTCGCTTCATTCATCAATCCTGCCATCATGGAATCCTTTCTGGCAACTATATATACCTTCACTTCTAGCTTCTCAACACAAGTGTCTGCTTCCTTATTAAATCTTAGCCTGAACGATCTCTCCACACACAATTTTAGCACACCCAGATTTTTAATATTCAAGCCAGCTGGACCTGATTTCCCTCACCCACCTTCAACGCATGTAGCAGCAGTGTGTACTATTGCCAAATCGCACTGCAGACATTCACCAAAGCTCTTTAGACAGCACCTTCCAAACACATGACCACTTCCATCTAGAAGCACAAGGATAGCAGATACATTAGAACACCACCCCCTGCAGGTTCTGCTCCAATGTGTGAATGAGTTGGTGTGGAACTTGCCGGGGATGATGTTCCCATGTATCTGCTGCCCTTATCCTTCTGGATGGACATGATAGTTGGTTTGGAAGGTGCTGTCTTTAGTAAATTCCTACAGAGCATCTTGTAGATTGTACACACTGCTGTGACTGAGTGTCGGTGATGGAAGGAGTGGATGTTTGTGAATGTGGTACCAATCAGGCGGGCTGCTTTCTCCTGGAAGGTATCAAGATTCAAGATGTTGTTGGATCTGTACCCATCCAGGCAAGTCTTGTGCCTTGTGGATGGTGGACAGGCTTTGGGGAGTTAGGAAGTGACCTACTCACCTAGCCTCTGACCTGCTGTTGTGGCCACTATATTTATATGGCTCATCCAGTTCAGTCTCTGGTCAATGGTAACCCCCAGGATGTTGATAGTGAGGGATTCAGCAAGGGTAACAGATCGAATGTCAAGGGATAATGGTTGGAGTGTCTCATATTGGAGATATTCCCTACTGTGTGTCCAAGTAGTAAGCATATAGGTTGGGCCCAGGGGCTGTTGTGGTGCAGTGGTAGTGTTCCCACCTCTGAGCCAGGAGGCCTGGATTCAAGTCCTAACTGCTCCAGAGGTGCGTGAGATCATCTCTGAACAGATTGATTGAAAAGAATCGATATTTTGAGCTCACAACAGAAGGGAAGAGAAATAGAGAGAGTATTGTGCCTGTTACTCTCCTACACTGCCTTGGCTCCAGACTGTAACATTCAGGGAGATAGCCCCTGTCAATAGTTCAGTTGTTTCAGTGACATCAGCTTGCCACATGCCTTTCTGTCTGCCATCCCAGTTTCTGCCTAAAATCAAGAGGACGTTGCTTGCAGTCCCGTATCTGATCTCTAATCCCGATTTCTTATGTTCGCTCCACAGGCATTTGGCATCAGAACTGAGGGTTTCTTTGTGCTCGCTCAGAAAGAGCTTGATTCCTTGACCTACCAGTCACTGTGCCTGCCAGACCGCATGCAGCAGTATGGAGTCGCAGAGCTCAAGGGCTACTACTATAAAGATGATGGCCTGCTGATATGGTCTGCGATTCACAAGTAAAGTATTTCACCATTGTCTCACCAGAGCACATGACTGCTCTCTCATTGGAGAGGCAACTGGTGGTGGTTTAACCTGAGGGCAACCACGCTGCAGGCAAGAAGGACACTCCTTTATTTTAATCTCAGCCAGTGCGGGAGTTGAACCTGCACTGTTACCGTCACTCTGCATTGCAAACCAGCCATCCAGCCAAACGTTGCCCTCACACAGAAGTGAGAAATGAGGGTTCTCACAGTGAGAAAAGGGCTTGGAAATTATCAGGACCCTGTGTATGAGCAAACCTCATTAATATAACTGAGAGGTTAATGGAATGTGAGCATTTGTCACACAAGGGACTGGCCTGCAAAGGAATGGAAGATGTTCCCTGTTTGGATAAGGTTCTGCTCAAACCATATTTGGAGTAACTCCAGTCAGCTCCGAGAACCTCTGATGGAATGGTTCCAGGGATGAGACGCTTGTGAGGGGAGATGTTGGGACTGTCCTCCTTGGAGAGGAGAAGGTTGAGAGGAGATTCGATAGAAGTTTTCAAGATCATGAGGGGATAGGGAGATACTATTGCCCTTTGTAAAAGAGATCAAGAACCAAAGGGTTTTTCAAAAGAAGCAAATATGAGGTGAGAAAAGCGTTTTTGCACAAAGTACTTTGAAGTCTGAGATAGAGAGATTTTAATCAGTTAGGGGATCATGGGATATGGAAAAAGCCTGGAAAGTGGAGATAAGGATATTAACAGCCATGTCCCTCAAATGAATAAGGAAAAAGGGCACAGTATTTTGTGTTTTTGCAATCCTCACTAATTGTTAACATGTTTGAACACGGCCTTTAGGTTTGTAGCCAACGTTGAAACATTCTACTACCTAAATGACCAGCAAGTCCTGGATGACCCTGAGCTTCAGGCCTGGATTAAGGACATCACTGAAGTTGGCTTTCAAGGCATTAAGATCACCGGTAATTGGATGTAAACTGGCTCTTCACCTGTGAAATCATAGCTCACATAATTGCAGGAGGCCATTCCACTCGCCCTGCCTGTACTGGTTTTTGGATAGGACTAACCAATTAATTATTCCTCTTCAATTACATGGCCTTTTCAAAGTCTGCAATTCTGACTCCGCGCCCACTTCAGGAGATGCATTTCCAGGTCTCCACCTCTCCCTGTGGGCAGAGAGTTCTTGTGCCTTTCCCTCTGGGCATGAGGAGCAGCCTGGCTGTGAGTGAGGTGGGGGGTGTTGGGCTGCAGGGAGTGAAGAGATGCATCTTTCTGGCCTCCGTGTGGTGGTTACAGATCAGCCCCCATCTTTGCCCCGTCCATCAATGCTGTGCATTTGCGAAGTCTCTGGGAGTAGAAGCTGTAGCTGTGGGGCAGGATGCACTGCAGAACCTCACACAGGCTCCCTCAGCCTTGCCCTCTTTAACTGTTCACCACTTCAGAAAGACAAGGTCAAGATTTATTTTCTCATCATTCATAGGATGTGGGCATCACTGGCTGAACCCTTGGAGCCGACCCCTAGTCAGCTCTTGAGGGCTAGACTTAAGACCTACCGCTGTACTGCTCATTGTGTGCTCGTCCTTTTCTCTACTGGACATGGTTGATAGTAGCATCGATAGATGCTGCATCCCTTGCTTAGTGTCCCCACACCCCACCCCCACCCCGTGCAATTCGGACTTGGTTGATGCAGAGCAAAGCTCCCTTCCTGCTGACTTTATCTGCCAGAGTTGTTTGTCTTTCAGGACTTCCGACTTTGCTCTGCAACAGGATGGATCTCATCAAGTTTCTCACCTCAATTATCTTCACCTGCAGTGCCCAGCATGCTGCCGTGAACGCCGGACAGGTAACTTTCCCAGGTCCCTTGGCTTTTCTAAAGCAAAGAACTATGGGTGCTGAAAGCAGAAATTGCAGGCAAAACATCAGCAGGGTCTGTGGGAAGAAAGCAGAGTCAACGTTGCGATGAAGAGGTGGATGAACACAGCAGGCCAAGCAGCATCATGGGAGCAGAGAGGCTGACGTTTCGGGCCTAGACCCTTCATCAGAAAAG